TGCTTGGCTGAGTTCTTTATCTCTTCATTTGATGTTCTAGGGTTTCAGGATTGTTGATTCTCTGTTTGGCTTAGTTTTTCAGATCTTTGCTGTGGAGGGATGGCGTGGTGCTTCTGCCTAGAGCGCCATCTTGCCGGACTCTCCTCCTCCGGGAGGCAGTATTTTACTTTCATTTCTGGTTATTCCTTTCAGACTGCAGTGTTTTCCAGTATTCCTTTATTTTTCCAAATTTCTGGACCACATAGAATGAGAGTGGCTATTGATAAATGGGCAACTGGAACTACTGATACTCAGTAGTCAGTTCTTCCATGCCAGGATTGTAGGGCTCTGTGAGTGCAGGCTGTTTTCTCAGTTCTTAGTGCTTTGCCTAGTACATAGTGGAGGCTCAATAAATATTTACTGAATGGACGAATCAATTTCATAAACCTTCTGAGAAATAATTTAGTGGATAAAGAGAGTTGTAAGCATGACTTTTCTTTAAAACATGATGTCCTGTAATGCTTGCCAGGGAGATTGTGTTATCTTCCTAGAAATATGTTTTGAAAGATCAGTATAAATTTTAAAGAGAAAGAAGAATGGACCTTTGAAGCTCATAAACGTATATTTTTGTCCTTGAATTCTCTGAAAAACAGTAACACATTTTCTCTTTTATTTAAGGAATTCCATTTGAGATAAATTCAGGACAGACTAATTTACCCCAAACCAAACCCACTGCTATCAAGTCGATTCTGACTCATAGCAACCCTATAGGACAGAGTAGAACTGCCCCATAGGGTTTCCAAGGCTGTCATCTTTATGGAAGCAGACTGCCACATATTTCTCCTGAGGAGCTGCTGGTGGGTTCGAACTGCTGACCTTTCGGTTAGCAGCTAAGTGCTTTAACCAATCGGCCACCAGAGCTTCTTGGGTAATTAACATACAGTGGGTGTTTATTAAGCATTAATGGATAGTTGCTGTGTTCTCTCTGATAGAATAAATGATACTTTTATGAATCTTTCCTCCTAATTTTATTTTTCCAATCTCTTATTTAGAAGAATGCAATCAAGTACTTTTCAGAAATACACTTAAGACTATGATCTAATGAGTAAAAAATAGAGAAGCATGTCATTGAAGGACAAGCAATAAAGAAAGAAATATTTAAAACAATAGTGGAAGGACTTGTTTAGAGAACCTTCTTTAACTTCTTCCCTATATACATATATGGAAGGAGATACATATACATATATATAATACACTTATGTATTGTCTGTATGTGTTTTAAGGTATAAATAATAGATTATGGAAATGGGAAAATGGATAATTTCTTATTCCCAATACCTAAGAAGTCTGTGCCTGGAAGAAGAGCATGCATTAGATATCTTTGTTAAGAGATTGAGAAAGGAAAATGTTTATATTTCTTTTCTTATATAATTTGTTCCAGCAAGGAATAGTGATAGCCTTCACTGTTAATTTTATATTTTCTTAGTTTAGCTATTTATTTTCAGAACCTAAATTTTTCAGGATCTTACCTGACAATAAAACAAGTCAAAAGGACAGACTAGATCTAAAATAAATGGCTTATAAACTGTAATAATAGTATTACTCACTTTAAAGAACATCTAAGTGCAGAGTTTAATATTATCATGATGTTCAGAGTTTTACTTATTTAGCTTTCACAGTTGTTTACTCTTTAATAAGAAAACATTAATTTCAGAAATATTTTTTCCAGCATGGAAAATAGCTTAATTGTCTTTTACATTTAACATTTAAGAGAATATTTGATATATTTCAATTTGTTGCTTAATTTTCAGAATTTAAAAAATCACCCTGATCAGCCAGCTGTTATCTTACTTTTGAGACAAGTTCAGTGTAAACCACTCCTGGAGTCACAAAAATCTCTCCCAGATGCTGTTCTTGAAGAGCTGCAAAAAACAGTCATGTCCAACTCTACCTCTGTTCCTGCTTGGCAGGTAAGTTCTCTCCTTTTTTTACGTGAGTCCTGAATTAAAGTACTCTGTGATATTTGATGAGGTCAGGTGTATGCTTCATATATATATATATTTTACCTTGACTTTAAATTCACAGTATATTTTTCAATTTCAAGATATAAAGGGTATTGTAGTTAGAGGAACTAAGGAAGTTGAGTACTAATTTGGGATCTGCTGCTGTAGTTCCAGAAAGCTTTCTTAATTGTTGATTTATAAATTTCCTCAACTTTAAGCTGATGAAAATGCTGTCTTACATTGGGTTGGTGTAGCAGAAATGAAAAAGTATTGCAAACATTTTATAATAAAGGTATTGTAATGGTGTATAAGTCCCTGGGTGGCACAAATGGTTAAGTATCACAGCTAGGCGAAGGGTTGGAAGTTCAAACCTACAGAGGTGCCTCAGAAGACAAGCCTGGCGGTCTGCTTTCAAAACATCACAGCCTTGAAAATCCTATGAAGCAGTTCTACTCTTCACACACTGGGTAGCCATGAGTCGGAATCTACTCGACAGCAACTAACAACAACAATGGTGTATAACCCTGCCTTTAGGGGGGATGTGTGTAGTTTTTCCCTAGCTACATTACAGTAACTCATATCCAAAATTGTAATGGATATTTAGTGCTTTTAGAAATAGATATTTTCTTGACACAGAAAAGGCATTTGACAAAGTCCGACATCCATTCCTTATAAAAATTCTCAATAAAATAGGTATAGAAGGGAAATTTCTCAACGTAATAAAGGCCATCTATGCAAAACCAACAGCCAACATCATTCTTAATGGAGAGAGGCTGACAACATTCCCCTTGAGAACAGGAACAGGACAAGGATGCCCTTTATCTCCACTCCTATTTAACATTGTGCTGGAAGTCCTAGCTAGAGCAGTAAGGCAAGAAAAAGAAATAAAGGGCATCCAAATTGGTAATGAAGAAGTTAAACTGTCCCTGTTTGCAAATGATATGATACTGTACATAGAAAACCCTAAAGATTCCACAAGAAAACTACTGGAACTAATAGAAAGATTCAGTAGAGTAGCAGGATACAAGATAAACATACAAAGATCAGTTGGATTCCTATACACCGATAAAGAGAACGATGAAAAGGAAATCAAGAGAACAATACCATTTATAATAGCCCCTAAAAATATAAAATACTTAGGAATAAATCTAACCAGGGGTATAAAAGATTTATACAAAGAAAACTACAAAACACTACTGCAAGAAACCCAGAGGGATCTACATAAATGGAAAAACATACCATGCTCATGGATAGGTAGACTCAACATTGTGAAAATTACAATTCTGCGCAAAGCAATTTACAAATACAATGCAATCCCAATCCAAATGCCAACAACATTCTTCAAAGAGATGGAAAAACTAATCATTAACTTTATATGGAAAGGGAAGATGCCCCGGATAAGTAAAGCACTACTGAAGAAGAAGAATAAAGTAGGAGGATTCGCACTACCTGACCTCAGAACCTACTGTACAGTTAAGGTAGTCAGAACAGCCTGGTACTGGTATAACAACAGATACATTAACCAATGGAACAGAATTGAGAACCCAGTTGTAAATCCATCCATCTACGGTCACCTGATCTTCGACAAGGGCCCAAAGTCCATCAGATGGGGAAACGACAGTCTTTTTAACAAATGATGCTGGCAAAACTGGATATCCATCTGCAAAGAAATGAAACAGGACCCATACCTCCCACTGTATACAAAAACTAATTCAAAATGGATCAAAGACTTAAAGCCAAAAACTATTAAGTTCACAGAAGGAAAAGTAGGATCAACGCTAGAGGCCCTAATACATGGCATTAACAGGATACAAACCATAACCAGCAACACACAAACTCTGGAAGATAAATTAGATAACTGGGATCTTCTAAAAATTAAACGCTTATGCTCATCAAGACTTCACCAAAAGAGTAAATAGAGAACCTACAGACTGGGAAAAAATTTTTGGACATTACAGGTCAGACAAAGGTCTAATCTCTAAAATCTACAAGAAAATCCAACACCTCTACAACAAAAAGACAAATAAACCAATTATAAAATGGGCAAAGGAAATAAACAGACACTTCACCAAAGAAGACATTCACACGGCCAACAGACACATGAAGAAGTGCTTGCGATCACTAGCCATTAGAGAAATGCAAATGAAAACCACAGTGAGATACCATCTCAGTCCAACATTACTGACATGAATCAAAAAAAAACTGGAAATAACAAACGTTGGAGAGGCTGCGGGGAGATCAGAACTCTTATGCACTGCTGGTGGGAATGCATAATGATACAACCATTTTGGAAAATGATATGGTGCTTCATTAGAAAGCTAGAAATAGAAATACCCTACGATCTAGCTATCTCACTCCTAGGAATATATCCTAGAGAAATAAGAGCCGTCACACAAATAGACATGTGCACACCCATGTTCATTGCAGTATTGTTCACAATAGCAAACGGAAACAACCTAGATGCCCATCAACAGATGAGTCGATAAACAAACTATGGTACATACACACAATGGAGTATTATGCAACGGTAAAGAACAGTGATGAATCTGTGACGCATCTCATAACGTGGATGAAACTGGAGGACATTATGCTGAGTGAAATAAGTCAATTACGAAAGGACAAATATTGTACGAGACCTCTACTGTAAAAACTCATGAAAAAGTTTACACACAAAAAGAAACAATCTTTGTTGGTTATGAGGGGTGGGAGGGGTGGGGGGAGCACTAAATAGACAACAGATAAGTGGTAACTTTGGTGAAGGGTAAGACAGTACACAGTACTGGGGAAGCCAGCACAGCTTGTACAAGGAAAGGTCATGGAAGCTCCATAGACACATCTAAACTCCCTGAGGGACTGAATTGCTGGGCAGAGGGCTGTGGAGACCATGGTCTCAGGGAACATGTAGCTCAGTTGGCATAACACAGATTATAAAGACAATGTTCTACATTCTACTTGGTGAGTAGTGTCTGGGGTCTTAAAAGCCTGTGAGCAGCAGTCTAAGATACTCCACTGCTGTCTTCTCTTCGGGAGAAAGGGAGAATGAAGAAAACAAGATACAAGGAAAAGATTAGTCCAAAGGACTAATGGACCACAGCTACCACGGCCTCCACCAGACTGAGTCCAGTACTACTAGATGGTGCCCAACTACCACCACTAACTGCTCTGACTGGGATCACAACAGAGGGTCCTGAACAGAGCTGGAGAAAAATGTACAACAAAATTCTAACTCACAAAAAAAAACCAGACTTACTGGCCTGACAGAGAGTGGAGAGACTGGAGAAACCCCAAGAGTATGGCCCCCAGAGACCCTTTTAGCTCAGCAATGAAGTCGCTCCCAAGGTTCACTGTTCAGCCAAAGATTAGACAGCCCCATGAAACAAAACAAGACTAATGGGGCACAACAGTCCAGGGACAAGGACTAGAAGGCAGAAGGGGACAAGAAAGCTGGTGATAGGGAACCCAAGGTTGAGAAGGGGCAATGTTGACATGTCATGGGGTTGTTAACCATTGTCATAAAACAGTATGTGTACTAACTGTTTAATGAGAAACTATTCATTCTGTAAACCTTCATCTAAAGTACAATTAAAAAAATAAATAAAGAAAGAAATAGATATTTTCAGGATTGATACCCTGTTCAACAGATTGCCCTTTCAGCTGTTTCTGGTTATCCACCATGAGAAATGCACAGTAATCATTTTGTGCTTTATTGTTATTGATATTAAAATACAAAAAGCATGTAATTACTTTACCCAGTTTGTTATATTTCCCACTGGGCCCCCGGGAAAGTGTCAGAGGGGCTTTTTGATACGGATTTTACAGAAGCTTCTTATTTTCCTATAATTTGTTCTTCATTCTGATCTTTCATTATACCAACTTTTCGATGTTCCTGTTTAAAAAGAAAACCCTGGTGGCATAGTGGTTAAGCGTTGGGTTGCTAACCAAAAGGTCAGCAGTTCGAATCCCCCAGGCACTCCTTTGAAACCCTACTCTGCCTTATAGGGTCACTATGAGTTGGAATCGACTCAACAGCAATGGGTTTGGTTTTTTGGTTTTAATGGCATAAAATAGTTTGATTATGGAAGCTAAGCCTCGTTTTTACTCTGATTCTTCAGAAAGATGATGCCTTTTTTCCTCTCTTTTTTACTTACTTAGAGGAAGTTTACGATATAAGATGTAAGATACTTTAATTCTAACATCAGCTGTATCGTTACGATATATTTTGTATCAAGGGGAGAACTACTTTGTTTAACTAAAAGAGAAAAAAATGAAGGATAAATTATATAATAAGTAAGATCTTAAGAGATGGTGTGTGTGTATTTTTATATTAAGACATAATTTACAAGGAATTAAGTGCGTAGATCTTAAAAGTACCACTTTTAAATGTTTATGTATATACCTGTTTAACAAGAATATCAACTCATTGGCAACAGGTTTGGGTTTGGTTTTATATCAAGATACAGGAGCCCTGGTGGCAAAGTGGTTAAGCTCTTGGCTGCTAAATGAAAGGTTGGTGGTTCAAACCCATGAGCCACTCTGTGGGAGAAAAATGTGACAATCTGCTTCCACAAAGATTTATAGCCTTGGAAACCCTATCGGGCAGTTCTACTCTGTCCTATAGGGTCCTGACTTGACAGCAATGGCTTTGGGTTTGTATCAAGATACATTTTTAGCAACCTACCAACCTCCTGCATGCCTCTCCCACTTAATCTCATCCTCCTACCTCACCATCTAAATGGAGCCATTATTTTGACTTCTATCATTTCTATCTAGTTTTGCCTACTTTTGAACTTTATATAAAGTATCTGGCTACTTTTACTCAACATTATGTCTGTCAGGATCATGTATTTTCATGTAGCCATAATTCATTATTTTTCATTTCAGTTTATGAATATATTATAACATAGATCCCTTTTATTACTGTTATTGGACATTTAGATTGTTTCCTGCTTTTAGCTTTTATGAACAGT